GTTACAGAACTGTCCATCAGGAATGGCCAGGTTGTCAGGCTGGTAAACGGGTGCCGGTCTGCAGTCGCTCTCATACACATACTCGTATTCGTTGTTATCCCCTACGCACTCCATTTCGACGCAATTCGTCTCTTTGTTAATTAATTAATTTACTTTCCTTATAACTGATCGAGAGAAAACGCTATCCGTGCGTTTGCCTCTCCGCTGCTCGTGCTGTGATTTTTCTGGTCGTCGTATCTCACTGCCGCGTGTCTGCAAGCGTTGAGTGGAAAATCGATGAGAACCCGTTCAAATATCCTCCAATCAGCTGAGCTCTACGCCATTGGCTGATAAGTCCTCCTCGTTCATTGCATTCACAAGGGAATTAATAAGTTGACCTCCCTAGTCGCGATAACGTTTTTGTCTCATTTGCAGGCCCCAAATCGCACCAGTCACCCTCGCCTAATGTACCGAAGCCGAAACTCAGCCTTAGGATACCGCCGCATTATTTAGGCGTAGCTAGTAGCATGTACACACCAGTATTATCCTCCAATAATTTACAAAACCCCAACGCTGTTACATACTAACCCAAACAACTTCATCACAAGTTTTACGCCTCTTAAGGTTAAAAATGTGTCAAGAAACTAAAACATATTCAGAGCAAGAGAATTAACCAATCATTGTGATAAAAAGCTACCATAAAGGCCGTATCCATAATGAATTGAACATTTTATCGAGCCAAAGTTACTACTGTTACAGATTTCCCAATTCCTAATAGATGTACTCTATAGGAAACGTCAGAAGACTCGGTATTAAAAAAGTGTATTTACAAGAGTCACAGGGGGCACTTAAAAGAATGGCCTATTTCCCTCTATTTCCGCCGAATTTCCCACCACCACGACTACCTCCACCGCCGCGACCACCTAAAATTTGACAATTTTCCTGATTTTCATTTGCCAATTTAAGCAAGCTGGTAATGGCAATTTTGTGCACAATTTTTGTCACACAAAAGCCATTTAAGAAATGGGGTGAATATCAAGAGCGAAAGCGTACTCTAAGCTACCTTAGTTATAGAGTCGAAGACCGTATTATAAAAAACAAGAAAAAATCGGCATAAGCAAGAATCTGCTTTCTTTGATTCATATTTAGAGTTTCTTATGAAGCGGTGCCTTATTCTACAGTCAATATTACCAATCTACACCTTGCGCAAAAAAGATAAGTTAAATCACTTGGTTTACAGAAAATAAGCCTGGGTTCTAGAACAAACACAAACATGTGAACCGGAATGTGCTTATCCATTTCATATACGGAGAATACGAGCTCACCTCTGAACTTGTTCCGACTTCCACCACCACCACGTCCGCTGAGCTCTCTATTTCGTACCCTCGACGCTTGCATATCCTCTTTCACTTTGTCAATGACATCTTCGGGGATGCGCAAATACTTTATTATGCTTCCACGAATAAAGCACTCTGGCATTTTCCAAAACCTGTCACCATCCTGCGTATGAACTACCGATTAAAAATCTGAACCCAAAAAACTTACGCGTGATGTGCAAATAACTTCTTTGAGGTGTATATTCATCCAGTCATCACAGGCAATTAGATAACCGTTGTAGGTCTCACCACTTTTGAGTTCAACCAACTAGAGTGAAAATAACAAATCAAAAGTAACAAACCATTGGCATGTTGCATGATGCTTTCAGCAGCGTGATTGGCAGCTAAAAAGGTAAACAAATAAACACAGAATACCATGTTGAAGCGTCCGGCGACAATGCTCCGCTGTTTGACACGACATACACTACACTATCCCTATTGCCATTGGTTAACTTTATTGGCTAATAAGCAACGCACTGATCGATTCTGTGATTTAAATATTTGATGCACGACGACCAAATTCATATAATCTTACAGAAAGTTGAACCTCTGATATTCCCAACTTTTTCATACCATTATTAATAATATCGAACCTAGGATGCTTGTCTTGAAATTTGGTAGTTTCAAGACAAATAATAGTTAAGCCTAAGCTGCAAGTACTTTACATCATTACTTTGTATAGTCGTGTAATACGATAGTGGTTTATCCCTCAGTGCTGGCGAGGTGCCACTTTTGTACTTTGAATTAGCCCTCTTGTACCTCGCTGGGTGGGCTGGCCTTTCGGGCCATGCCAATAGCCCAGACACCTTCTCTGCGCCAAACATATACTCTGCCCGAGTATTTTGTCTTCTTTTGTCTTCAGGGAGTCTCGAGACGCTACAGTAGCCCTTAGTTCAACACAGAAATTTTCGCCCATGTTACAGTGACGGACGCTGACGAAAGATGCATTTATTAAATGTGGTGGTAAAAGTTGTCGATTGTTTTATTTATTTGGGTGCTTTGTATCAATTCTCACTAACATTTTGTAGCGTGCCAAGTCTCCTCCAAAGTCGCAGCATGACAGACTGTGCATCACTGTCATGTAGAAGGGTTGAGAAACAACTGACTCGGCCCGAATGTTATCCCGCCCCTGGAAAGGGCAATCTGTTTAGAGTGAAGAGCCCTCCGAATTCGATACATGATGAGATATTATTGAATCAGTGCAATTGCATTTAATTTTTCAGCTTAAAAGTGCAGGTTGCAATTTGTGTTATAATTTTGACTTAAAGTATGGTCAGTGAAAATGCTGAAATTTTATCAACCGTCCTTACAGGTTCTCCTTGGCCAGAACTGATATTTCCCCATTATCTGTAACACTCCTTTACTGTGGTATTCTTTTAGGTGGATTTAAGTATCTCCGCGTTTTTTTGGCTTTATCTCAGTGCGGTTTAATGCCGGTTTCGCCTGAAGCAAATCCTTACAACTTTTATAATCAGAAAAAATAATCCATCTTGGCATACTTATTGGCAACTTCTTTGGTTTAACCTGATGTGATTTGAACATGTCTGCGTCAATAAATAAACTCAATTCTGCTCCTAAGCTGGAAAAATGCTTCTTTATATTTTTTTTTTTCTGTCGGAGGTTTAAAGAGGCGGAAAGAGTCATTTAAAAAACCTGATTTGTTCCGCTGATGAATTCTTCATAGGTGCTGCATCACATTCAAGAAGGCACTCTATCATTGCATTGGAATATCATTCAAAGTTAACGTATTAAAACTAATTCTTAATTATGTTCAATATGCGAATTGAATGAAACGATTTACATCTACATCAATTGGAAAAAGGCGAACATAAAAGCTTCTGATCCAGAGTGTTTCACATGGCACAGCTTAGTAGATGCTAGCCGGTGGGCTTCCAGGACTCTTAGTTCGTTTCTTCTCTCTTTAAACCATTAAAATGCACCTTTTTGGATTGACTGGCTAATGGTGATAAGTAGGCTTTGTACTTTTGTATCCCAACATTCCTTGAGAGAACGAGCACATTATTAATTACCCCCCGGTTCAGTGCACTCGCCTCCCCGTGCGTTTAAGCTAGTTCCCGTTCTGACCCATACGGATTCACAGATTACGGCGCACTAGCTGCTTTCTGTGTAGTAGATTAATGTGTGGGATCTGGTCAGCAATAGTTTTTTTATGGAAAAAAGGAATTTACTTTCCACTCCCTGAAATGCACTCTCTTCTCTTCTTGCATTAACCTATATGTCGAGGTTGGACTTGAACTTCCCTTGCTCTGCCCTTGCCAAATTACGAATGTTTTTGTGTTTTACATCAAACCAAGTGCAGCATAAAAGCGTGCTTAGCTCGAATGAACGTATTTCGGATCAATGTTGACAATCAAGAAGTTAGAACAAGACTACAAGGCCTTAAAACTACTCAATTACTTCCACGATGACATTTGGTGTTTCGGCAGTCTCCTCAAGCACGGTGATGGCTGAATGTGTCATGATTTCCAGTTTTGAATCCAATTCCTTTTCTTTGTAATAGATAATGCACCAGACCTCACCTACAATAACAGATCCAGAGTGAAGAGAGCCGTTCACCTAAATAATTCCTCATAAATGTGATGATCAACATCGCGTTCAACAATTTAAGATCATCTGTTGATGGTTGGGAGGGCAGGCTAACCCTAACAAAAATTATCTTTGGATTTAGAAGATTCTCTGTCGCGAGGTGAGGACTTCACTTGACTTTAGTTATGGAGGCCCACGCAGAAAGGCAGATACGAGAAGAGTTCCAAAGACAAAGCCCAAAACTTGACGAGGGCTATGCAGTGAAACATTGTCCAGTTTAATCCAATAAATTACCTCTCCTGTCAATACACATGAAACCTACTAGTGTAGAAATTTATTCCAAATTGAAAGAAAAATTTCCGTTAGGTCAATTTTCTCATCAGTGTTTGGGCTAAAGCGCCTCCATTTCGTCCACGTCTGCAATCGCCTTCTTATATAAGGACAATCGATAAATATGAGTGAAAAAGCCCCAATTTTGTTTTGTTATTGGTTCACATAGCCGCGGACTAATATGTCCACCATATAGCTTACATTAGATGAATTGCGTAGACACTTTGGTCTCACCGATTTTATACTTCAGTTTTGAAACATTACCTTTCAACCAGCCATATAGGCTCTCAGTCCTTCCTTTATTTGAGTTTCTGTTTCATTTCAAAAATATTTTGATCTGGTACTTTGATTTCCTTTTAATTTGTACGACACCTTTTATCAAAACTGTACCTTAGATCGTCATATTACCCATAAATTGACAAAATGTTGAGGTTAAACAATACGAGCGTGTTTAAACAGCGCCATATTATAAGAGGATTCACTAAAAGACAGAATTTTAACCTTTGGGAATAAGATCAAGCAAATGAGATAGCAAAGCCTATGTGTCAATAGTGAGATTAATGGTTCCGTCCCCACTACTTTTTGATCATCCAACTCACCCGATTTTACTGCGTCTCCAACATGTTTAAGCAGACGAATGCCAACGGTATGGTCGATCGCGTCATCCAACTTGTTTCGACCTGCACCCAGACGCCAGACCACCTGAGCTATCGTTCCAGCGTCAATGTCGCTGATGTAACCTGCAAAATCGGGAGGTCTGCAGATGAGACCAAAACCTCGTTCACTCTTACCTGTCTCTCACTTTGGCGTGAAGTTGATTTGCATATACCTCGGTTTTTTACTGACTGCATTCGTTCATGGCCTTCTGCGTAAGCCACTTCGGTACATTTTTCGTGAGTCTTTGTTAGTTTAATCAAAAGTTTTCAGTGCTAGAGGATTCTGTAAATAAGCATCACCGCAGGACGAATGTTCGAGACATAGAGGAGGCCTTTCTGGAACAACTAAAAGTCGTTGTAAGTCTATTCTGAGTTTGTGGTACAAGTCGTCACATTAGGCAAACTGTTTATGATGAAAGGCAGAAGACAGCTATAAGATTACATATTTTGTTGTATAATAGTCATAAAGCATTGAAATATGCGTCCCATATGGGGTTGAGCATCCTCACATACCTCCAACTCTGACCTGCGAAATGGTCGAACCAGTGTGCCGGTGGGTGACAAGAGCACCGGTCAACCACTTTCCATCAAGAGAAAGCAAATGAAGGTAATGACGTCACATTTCGAGGACGATCCACACCTGCCTTGGCTCTAATTCACTACACTCACTGCACCTCGTCTATTAGATCGGATATTGGCAAATTTCTTCCCAATCACACCTTCCTCTCAGACCCACCACACCCACCCTCTCAACTGATGACAAGTGAAACAAATGCTCCACAAACAGGGATATTTGTGACAAATAGTCATGCATCAGTGCCTTCATTATTATCTGAAGTCAATGGTAGATTGATGTGAAAGCCACTTATTAACCTGAGAGACTACTCCAAGGCACTTTGACAGGCGATGAAGACATTCCTTTAATGAAATACCTCACTTAGTCTGCAGCACTTCAGACTGCAGAATAAACCACGGAAAATTACCAATGCTATCCATTAAGTTGTGACGAAAGCAAAAAATCACACTGTGATGAAAAAACAGGTACGCCTGTGCAGCACCCCAACCACCTCGCACAACTCCACCCAAATGCAATAATTCGCATGTGATGCATCAATTTAATCAACCACACAATTGACTGAGCTTCGTTTCCATCAATCACTAACATATGCCAATGCTTTCATTACTGATCGGCAGAGGTCCGGTGTCACATATCTGTGACGTCCCACATTTTCTATCTCATCTGGTGTGTCACAAGTGTATGACATGATCACAGCAAAAAACTATAGCATCCACACCGTGATGAACCACTCTCCTCTGAGGTGACAGGACATATCATTTAGCTCAACATTTTCGTGATTATATTGCCGCATTGCAGAGGGTTGTTGAGTTTTCCACGCCAGTTGAATAGTTCGTAGGGCGTCAAACGCATATTGCAATCCACAAGCACGATTGCATTGCTGATCCAATCTTACGGCCATCAGCATGTGCGTGATCATGATCGCCTAACTGGAACTCTCCCAACTATTCTTGTATTCAGAGCTTTTCCATGGGGCCTACCAACACATATGCCAACAACACTAAGGGCTTGGCTGCATGTAGAATTGAGCACCCTCATTACATCTGGGCATGTCACGTGGTCATATTACAGGCTCATAAAAAAAATACACTGGGTTTAGATGAACGACCAGTTAAAATGCCCATCTAGCACGGATTAAATAACTCACCGGATCTCGGAGCCTTGACAGACTTCTTCCCGTTGGCCATTTTGCCCATCACACCTAGGTAGTAATCGATGGGGTCGATGCAGTCAGGTGGGGGCGGGGAACAGAGGGCCTCCGCGACTCCCGAACTCACGCCTTGGTTCACCAGCATCTTCCGCATCGCCATCTGTGCTCTGCCATCTCGCACAGCCTCCAGCATCATGACTCGTGCTTTAGCACGCTCTGTGGCAAGTTCAGTTGCCTGCATCATGTTCTCGCCTGTGAATCCAAGATAATCATTGTCACGGCTGCGCTTCCAAATTGGTGCAGCACCTTGCAACCAGACAGGGGTAGGAGGCAGATAAAATCCTCTCGATTTACGCAACTAAGTGGGGGCTGCTACGTATTTATGCACAACTCTGCTCTCATGCGCATAGAACACTTTTTTCATGTGTGGATAGACGAAAAGCTTCAGCACTTTAGCAGTGATCTGAGTCGAAAGCCCCGCATTAAGACACTCAGAATATCATTGACACAAACGCTTTAAAGTAGTGATACTAAATACAGTAGCAAGGAGAAGTAAGAGCGTCCCACAACTACCACTATTGAGAGGCATCACAAGTAATGTGGTGGGGAGCGCGATCACGACTCTTTGTCATGATGGCATATATGGTGATGACAATGCTGGCAATAGTGCCAGGGCAAGGGCCAGTAATAGTGCTGCAATTCACAAAGCTCACCTAGTGTGAGAACAAGCTCACGCAGGCGACCTTGAAATGAACCACCACTGAGAATTGAGAACACCTCCGCCATTTCAAGGGCATTTCCAATGCAGCTTCCCAATGGTTGATCCATCCATGAAATCACCGCCACCACTTTTAGATCAAGTTTTCGTCCAACTGTGACCTAAAATATGAATAGTGCTACTCAAGTTTTGGAAAATTTTCCACAAAATAAGTATCATTACTCATTGGCCTCAGTTGATAAATGTACTGTTTCAACATCACTTGTCGCTTTGAGAAAGTGTGTCCCCATGTTTTGAAATAATGGATTTAAGTTTTTTACTGGAAGCCCTAGCTTATCTTTCATCATTAAGATTTCAGACGGAACAAATTACCAGACTGATGGCAAGTTCTCGAACTTCGTCCAACTTTTGGAAAAGGGCACCAGAACCTAATTTAATGTCCACCACGAGTCCACGAAGGCCCTCACAAAGTTTCTTCGACAAAATAGAGGCTGAAAAGGCAAAAAATTTTGATGAATTTGAGTGGGATTGTAATTTGAAAAGCTAATATTGCATTTTTCTTCTGGGTCTTCAACCTGATTGCCTAAGGGTGCATACCTGTGATTAGAGGCACAGAAGGCACAGTTCCCGTGACATCACGATACTTGTAAAGTTGTCGATCTGCAGGCACTAAACGTTCTGTTTGACCGACTATGAAGAATCCAGTATCATTAAGCATGTTTTTCAGCCTCTCCTCGCCAATGCTAGCCGAGTAGCCGTCAATGGACTCCAATTTGTCGATCGTGCCGCCGGTGACGCCCAATCCCCGACCGCTGATCATTGGAACCTTTGAAAACATATTTGTTGATTAATTGGTAAAATTGTGAACTAATTCTCTCACCTTCCCACCACAAGCAGCAATCATTGGAGCAAGAATATGGCTCGTCTTGTCACCCACACCACCAGTACTATGTTTGTCCACTACCGATTTGGCCCACTGTTGATCATTCCATCGGAGCTTGTCACTATGGCTCACCATGGCAGCTGTTAGATTGGCCACTTCTTCTGTTGTCATGCCTCTGGTGAACACGGCCATCAAAAAGGCACCTGTGAACACCAAAATCAGCTAAGGTGCAGTTTTGGAACTAGAGTATCTTGATTCGTGGAGTCATCAGGAATCATGATCTTGCGAAATATGGAAGCTATAATTTAAAAAAGGTAGCCGACACAAAAAAATTTTTCTTTTGCATTATTTTTTGTCCCCCACCTTTTAGCCTCCGAAATGCGCTTTTACAGATGAGGCAGAGACGCAGAATGGCAACAGACTACTTCCGTCTCAAATATTGCGCAGACGGCGCCATGGTAGGTGTAGAAGTGTTGTAATTCATTAAGTGTTAGTTGCGTGTAGTGTTGTTTACAGGTTTTACAGGTTGACTGTGTTTAAAGAGAGCAGCTCGACTTGACTGAGAATGTATATAGATTTCAGAATTTTTTTAATGAAAATGGCCCCCAAAACCACTTAAAATTGATAATTTTATAAGTGGAGGATTCAAAAAGGATCGTTTTTAAGTTTATCTTATCCCCGACGCTGCCTGGGAAAGTGACTAAACATACTGTTGAATGTTAGCATCGTCACTCCAGATTGCTGCTGTGTGAAACTGCGTGAATCAGAAAGGAGTTCTGCCATTTGTGAATTCATCCCCATATCCTTATGTGCCTAATATGTTGTTGGAGTTTACCTTCACCACGTCCTCTGAGTTAATTCAAAAGTTCTAGGTTAGCTGTACTAATACGATGGATACGACGGACCTTGCTAATCCAGCAGTTTTAATTAAGACTTCAATTAAGTGTAATCCATTCGTGCTCTACTTCAATAACAGCCTTGTATTTGCCACGAGATGTTCTAGATTAGTGCCTCATCAACTAACAAAGCGTTAGATTACAACTTTTAACAAAGAAATAGCAAGAGACTCACCCAGTTGAACAGCCGAAATGGTTTTTTTGCACAAATGTGTAACAAGATCATCATAGTCCTTCTTACACAACTCCAGTCCACGGGCTTTTAGTGTGAGCATTTCCGAGATGTACATTTTTAGACTGTCTTAAAACTCTCCCTTCGTAAATCACGTGACACGTAATATTTGAAATACACGGTGTTGGTCGGGTCTAATCAATATCGCCTGACATTGGCGGAACCTTAATGACGGTACGATTGATAGCCCTCTCCTTCCCTCACCCTTCTCGTTGCCAGATGGGTAAGCTTTGGACATTGCTCTTCTCAGTTTAGTTTTCATATCGTTCATTTTATCTTTTTACCTTGTAATGTGATACGGGAGTAACAAAGTCAAAGTCTGTCTACTAACCCCATTTTGTGCTCTAAGATCCGAAATTCCATATGCGTACTAGGGATTTCTACCATACGTAATGGGTCCCATACATTTGTTTACAAGAAACAAATTATAGGGTTTACTTGCCAATTTGAGCGATGTTAATGTTGTCCTCAGCTAATTCCTTAATGTAGTAGTCGATCTCCGTCGATGAGAGAGAACCACCGTTAGCCTTTTTGGACAAGATTCCAGAGATGCTGATGGTTGCCATCTTATTGTCACAAACAGCTACGGAACACCCTTCACCGTTTATTTATACCCCCAAATGGTGTGGAGCCAAGGTGTGACTTGACAACGGGCCACTTGGATTTAATTTTAAAAAAGGTTAGCACTCACCTAACCAGGGCGTTACAAATAGTGGCTTTGTCTCATGTCGGTATGCAGGATGTTAATGCTTTTCGACTGCAAATTTTCTCGCATTCTTGGTGACCATAATGCCAGTGAAGTCAGAGTTCAACGACTGTTTACTATAGTTAACGCGATTGTAATTGTTTTAAATCAGGAGAATTAGGGGAATGTGATCATGTAAGCACTTCAGTCATCTAATCATTAGTTGCGGTATCTGTATAGGGAGGATCGGTATCTTACGGGAGCATTTAAGCGCCTCTCTCGTTTAAGAGATTGAAAACTATCTTCAATGTCAGGATGAAAATGGACCATATATATATCTCCATGGCTTTCATTTTGCCATCTTTCTTACAAAAGGGGCAATCCATACAGACAAGCAAATTGAGGCAACATCAGTAAGAGAGATTGGGATTGGTTTGCTTAATAAAAAGGTCATTTTATGATTAGTATGCAACAGTGGTGTGTTTATAAACCGCATATCTAAGCAGGCAGGTTACTCAGTCGCTGGGTCTAGTACAAACACAAGATGACATGATCATCTGGTAGGATATTCAGCTTCTTAGCAGAAAAGTTTTTAAAGTGGTGAAGTCTGTGAACATTTAAAGAAAGGATTAGGACGTTAAGGATCAATATCGGAGAAGATAAGTGAAGGAGTGAACTGCCATGGGGGCAGTGGACACGTCATTTCCTTCCTCTTGATGGGAGGTGGTTGACCGGTGCTCTTGTCACCCACCGTCACACTGGTTCGACCATTTCGCAGGTCAGAGATGGAGGTATGTGAGAGAACTTTATCCTGAAAGGAACTTACGCACTCCGTAAGCACTTTCCAGGGGAGAAAACAACTGTGATTATTGTTTTTTGAATAGATTTTTGCTATAAACTGGCCTACAATACTAAACCAAAGGAGTAGCTCGGCTGCTCGACATATTTTATCATCAAATGCCTTTAGCCCTTCCAATTACTGATCCTCTTTTAATGCGCTAAAATACACAAAAGCTTATTCCACTTCTGTATGCTTCTTTTAGTTTACCCAAGTTTAATTTAATTGCAGCTGTTTTCATCTCTTTCGAAAACGGCCTCATGCAAACATGCAATGTCCTTCTTTCAATTGGAGCTAATGCTTCAGTTGACCGTTTCAGGTCATGTGATACCTGAGCCACTTTTTGTGTAGTACTGAACCTCTCCCGCAGGTTTGAAAGATGTGCATTTGTACCCTTCGGTCACGGTTCCTACATTTTGTTTAAAAAAATCACTTAAGATTTATTTGAGCAAAATGTCAGTTGCTGTTTACGGATGTGAATAAAAATTTAAACGTGAAATTTTTGGGGGGTGCAACTTGGTTATATTTGTCCCACTTTAAAACTTGACTAATGTGGACTCTTCAGTTTTGCCGTTTCTGTCATAATCTGGAACATCTTAGTCCAATCAAACATGGCATCACAGATAACTCCGGAAGCCACAGTGATGGTAACAGTAAGCGAGTCCACATCAAAGGAGCTAAAAGTTCACTTTCAGTTGCTTAATCTCATATCGGAGCATCACGGAAGAAAGCGTGTGTTGCGAATGGTTGGATCGGTAAAGACTCACAAAGAAAGAGTTTTCATAGCCATATCGCAATCAACCCAGTCTCCATGGAAAAATAATTAATCACAGAAAAGTCATCATACTTGGGCAATCTGAAATCATCCAATTTGGAACTTCTGCAATGGTCATGTGAATGTGGACGTTACGCACCTTCCATAGCCTTGGTAACAAAATGGAGCTCAGACAGCCGTTTGGGGAGCATTGAAGTGAACACAAAGTAGGAGTCAATAATGCCTAATAAATTTTAACTCTGTATGGCTGCTTTAAACTGTATATTTTACAAAAAGGCTCCAATATTAGGTAACATTCTCACAAGTAACGATTGCCTTAAAGGAAGGGGACTATGAAGCAAAGTGATATTTTCATAATTGCATTTAACTATCCGAGTTCTTCAATCTTCACAGTTTCGGTTGCCTTATTAGTGCCCTGGTCTTCTGTTCATACCTGCGGCCTTCCGGCTCCCCTAAAATGCTAAGATTAAATCTTCCTTCCTACCGGCAGGCCTTATAAAATTTTCATATAGGTTTAGACTGAAAGATTAGCCTAAACTGCATATACCAACTTGAACCTCTTGTAAATATTTGACAAACCTTTGCTTACTTCATAAAGTAGATATGTGAACTGAACTAATCTACTATGATGAAAACTGCATTGTCATGAAAGGCCAAATGGAAAATCACCAAGTTAAATTAATGCCACTTTAGCACAACTTGCAAAATGATCGCTTGTCCCTATCGGAAGGTCTTCACTCTCGCTAGTCGTAATCACTAAAAGAAGAAATTCCGTACAAGTTATCCAACGACACTCTGAATGTAGTGGTTCAAAAGATGGACCTTTGACCATCCTCCTTCGGATTGTAGAAGCCGTATGCGAGGAAGGAGGGTCCTATAAAATTATGTAGAACGACTCCAGAGCGAATTCCTTAATTTAGCACTTAACAAAATTCTCCATATTTGCATGTAGGCTGATGCGTTCATTATTTGAGTTTGGAATCTGCAGTCAGGAAGCGCGGGTGTCATTGGCTCTAAAATTGAATGCTGACATGGCCGTAACGCTTTAAGTTAACCCTGAAGGCTTGATTAGGCTTACCAGCCTTGCAACTACCATAATGAAGAAGTAGGCGGCTATAGGCACGACCAGAAGACTGTGTTAACTAATTAAACATCCATTTAAGCGTCATCTGTAGCACTACCCGTGGTCTCCCTTCTAATTCAACTACAACGAGTCTTTCCTCAAATTTTAATCGACCACAAGAGATAAAGGATGCAACCTATTAACACTGATTAATGATTTTAATGGTAACACTTGTAAAATGGCAATGGAAAGAAGAGGAGTGCCATGCATTGCTCCGTTCAGGAACAGTAAACGCAACGGTCGATCCATTAAAACATGATCGTCCTCCATTAGTGGTCATAATGCGGAATGAAGGTTTACCACAGGCTGACGCTGTTTCACGAATTCTGTAGTAAGTCTTCGCATTTTAAGCATCCATAGCTGAGTTTTGATTCAGGGACTAGGCAATTCAATCGGAAATTCGTTCGTTTATCAGTCAGTCCTGATGTATGGTGCTTATCGTTAACATGATAAAGGGCTGAGAGGGATGAGTAGAATACTGCACAGAGAAAATTGGTTCCAAAACTGAGAGAACCGAGCAGTTTGCATGGATTTGATGCCAATCCCTGCTCAATGATAGTAATAGCAACATATTTTGCGTATTTACTGGTGCCAATTGTAATGTCATTATTGCATTGTTACTTTTGTAAATAAAGTAGCAAGGTGTATTCCACCGTCAAAAATTTTATTTCATTTCCGTTCCTTTCTACCTTGCTGTGAAAATAGCTTCTTTGAGTCATCCGAGATCAGGTGGATTTTGGATTATGACTTTAAGAGCGGAAAGATGGTTATTTTAGGTGGCAGATAACTATTCAAGAGTTTGATGCTTGCTTCTCTGAGGTATAGACAAGATTATCCGCTATAAAAATCCATTTTCAGACACTTTAAAATCTTGAGCAAACGAATGTACAATGGAAGTTTTGTTACATTACGGCTAGAATATATGGTTTTCTCGATTATAGGTTTGACTGACACTGGGTTCTCTGTTGTGCCAATGTAAAGCACGTAGTTTCTGGCGAATGTTGCAAAGCCGGTTTGACCAACAGTGCAACGTGATTGGTTGAAATTGATCACGACCTCAATCACTGCGTTCGGACCTGTTTGGGACTCCTGGGTCATTTAGTTAAAGCGCGCATGTCACTACCCGTATGAGGTTGCAGAAAATCCTGTGGAAATAATCAATTACTTCATCTGCTTATGTAACTCAATCATGTGCTACTTGATATTCTCACTAACAGATGTAGCGTTATGTCGGCATATTAGCCTTCCCCATTATTCATCCTACGTAAATCAAAAATTCTTCTAAACGTTTAGTAATGAATCTTAATGATGTTGGCCAGCACTGTTGAGTGAATTAGCAGAAAGAATTCCATGTTTATTTAGTCAGAAGAAAGTTGAATTCATTTGTAATAAGCCCTATAAGCTTTCCGCCTTAAAAATCGTTTAATTTTATTGAAGTACCGAGACCAGAAGACTGCTCATTTCAGGTATGCCTTATGGCTATCAGAAAGAGGAGGCAAACCCTTTGCTTGAGATTTTGTCGTGCATGCATTTAAACTACGACCGCGTGCCATTGGTCCATTGCTCGTGTCCTCCGCCCTCTCGCATCGTTTATTACTCAGCCACCAATGCAACCAGCAGGAGGCCAAGTTGTGACGCCAACAGCCCAGCCAGCCAATCGATCGTGTGGTAGCGGATGCCTTAGTAGTAGTGGTTTTGGACGGATAGGCGCACGCACAGTTGAGATGCGTGCAGGCATATACATACGCACATGTATGGCCCATCGATTGCATTTGTGCGCACGTGCTACCGCATGCGTACGTTGGCAGGAGATTTGTTCGCCCACGCCGTTCCTGCATCTGTGTGTGTGGATGACTCATCAGAGGGCAAATGGGTCTTACGGAAGCGCGCACGTTGATGTTACGCTGAAAGGAGTAAAAACAAGTGACCAATCGCATCGTGCCATAGCTAGCGGCTTGCGAGCCAAAAGAGGCAATAGTGAACAGCCCGTAGAAAAGACCGTTTACTGGTGAAATGGGAGGCAAAATCGGTCTAAATGCTGATGCTTATTCTCAGCTAACTACTATTCTAACATCTTGCTTTCTCTGATTAGTTGGATGAAGGTAACCGATTTGGCAGTTGGGTGATTTTTACTAAAGAAATGGGCTGCACTATTTATTTACATTAAAGTGCGTGGGTTCTTGTGTTCCCACAGTTAAATCTACTTTGTTAATGCGGGATGAAATGAGTGTATAATTTTTCTACCAATAATCGGGAGGCATTTGTGGCTGCCAGATGTGATTGCACAAGTATGTGGGGACGAATCGATGGGGAGTTCTCTTAGGGACTAGAGCCAAGTCTAATTCATCCCAAAGCCAGTAAGATTAATATCTGGCCTGTTTATGATAACAGAAGCATACGCCTCTAGGATCTGCAGAACATTGAGGTATTTCACCACCGCGGTCTTGTAACATAGGAAGCCAAACCATGCGAATCGAAATAAGTTAGCTTTATTGTAGATGAAAGGAGTAAAAAATCGAGTAGATGGGTAAACACATAACCAGGAACTTGTCTAAGTGGTATTAATGTGGTTTATATAAAGACAGCTGTGTAGGTCAAACGGTAACATGGCTCCTCTCCGAAGTACTAATCCCCTAGAGCGTGATTTGACTCACAGGGACGCGTCACAAAGACGCACTTATTCATTTACGCATCGCTTTGTCAATGCAAAGGCTGATAAGCTGTGCATCCAACTTTAGCCAAAATTTGATAATATAAACAAATAAGTAGATAGTCATAATACACTCTTGAAGGATATAGTGTGCGCGAAGATGTCAAAACGTCTTGTCCGTCAATTTGACATTTTTTGTAAAAGCTTTGTTCACGTCAATTACTGGTTTTTGATACAATGACGCATCGTGCCAAAGGAAACTGCGGCGGGCATAAATCGATAATCTACGCAAGCAGTCTCGCGACTTCTAGCCCAGTTTCAAGGTCGTGTGGTGACAGTACAAAAATTATAAAATTAAGGTGGATATCTATGGCCCTTCTCAGTTATCGTATAGGGTATCAAATACACTAATAGCACTTAAAAATGAGTATTTGGCAGCCAAGAGACCAAAAGATAAACTTTCTCGCTACTTGCAAGATAGCTGGATGATTCTCTTCTGGAGGAGGGTAGATGAATGATCGACTTAGAGGACGCATGGTACACTGGCTCACTGGCCTCGTTTGTCACCGCGCCTATCTGCCTCCCTTTGTCAAGAGGTTTGAATTAGATCTTATCTTTCAAAAACTAAGCTTGTCTTTTCAACCCAAAACGAGTAGGAAAAGTATTCTAATGCCTTTTGTAAGTTATGTTACATTTCCCTTAATGGTACTTATTGTTCTTTCTTTTAAAACAGTGCATTTTGTATTGGAGTTTGGGGAACGACAAATCTGTAATTAACTTAGCAACCGCACACAATAAACCCTAGATACTATTGTAGCGATTTTTAAACAACTGGACTTATAAACTGTGGGAACTTTCCTCTAATTTTATGTCAGAAGTGTAGATAAAAATTCAGTCAGTATGTAGCTCCAACGGAACCTCCTTAATTAAACAAGCACGACTACCAATGCTGACGTCCTGTTCTTTTTTTGGGAGCAGCTCTGGCCATTAACCAAGCACACCGAGGTTTCAACCAATTGGAAAGGCCGTGGAAATGGCCTAGCAAACTGCCATTAATCATTGACCCAAGTGGAAGATTTTCTATCCCTCTCCACGCTCTGCCAATTCCTCAGTGGACGCGCCTTGTGGGAAAAAAAGGAATTCCACTTTACACTCAGGCCAAATTCAAGGTACAAAGACCGACCCAACACGAATGCTGGATTTGAGTATGTGACCCTGTCATTTGCTGTCTTTTGAAAGCAAAAAATTTGGATATTCCACTCCCTTTTGCAGTTGATAATTTGGGCTCTTATGGTCTTTAACTTCGAGAGAGCTCCATTAACAACCTTTTTTGTCACTACACCCAACAGGTAAATAGGTCTCTCCAGTTATAGGGTGCATTCTTGGGCCTCAGAAGAATGGCATACCGCCTCCCATGGTATTACGTTGGTGTCCTTCCGTTACACATCGTCCAAAGATCATATTATGGCCTTCCCTTAGAACAAAATAGGATAAATGTAGCGACTCCTCTATCAGGTTTTTTAACAAACTGTACCGAATGATTGCGTTAAGGGACGTGCGAATCACTTTTTGTGAGACCCTAACATGGAATTAGATTACAAGGTTTTATGATGATTTCGTTCGTCTTTTTTAGTTAGTTGGTAAGTCGCTTATTTGGGTTATATCAGGCCCTTATAAATGGCTCGCTGTTTCAATAGTTACTCTTTTGAAAAGAGAGAATTGAAATCTTCTGTCGCGTATCTGCGTCAGTTTAAAAATACACACCAATTACTAATTTTTTGTGGATTTTTCTTGCATCCAACAGCCAACTTTTTAACGCGTAAAAATTTATGAAAGGTGTCCTAGCTGTACAATACTGTAGCACCCGAACTAATTCCAAGTAGACGCGCAAAAGGTCCAAAGAATTGCTGGAACAATCTTCCAGTCGGAGCCCATAAAATTCGAGCTTATCTGGTTCATGGGCCGATATTACCTCAGTCTCAAGGTTGTAGAACATGCAGTATACCGCACCAGAATGTAATACCCAGGAAAGCCTTAATCAATTCGATTGATTCTCCCGATGAACCCTTCAACGATAGAGGTATAAATCACGCTCTCTGTGTGATACTGTGGCCTAAAAAAATCCAAATTAACATGCTGATAGCACCTTCCGGTCAAAATTAAGGTGAGTCATGACTAACTCCGTTTGTGCCTTCACCAACTGGAAAGGAAGTCGTTGAATCTTCTAATGGCAAATACTAAGTAGAAATAGATGGCGGGCAAAGGGCTCCAAATGCCAGCAATTTGAATTTTGCATCTTGCCGTTTACAGAGCTGTATGTGCTGGGAAATGGTTGCTGTGCCAACAGGTATCACCGAACGGTCTACAGTTCCACACTTTCAAAGTATACACTACTTCATCGCAGAAGGCTAAGCTTGCTTTGTGTATGGTGTAGTGTACTGCATACCGCAATCCTCACTTACTAAAGATCAAGCAGTATTTTCGGTTAAGATCTACCCCTCCAGCCGATGTAGCCTCCATTTTTTCTGCAACATCCAGGTTTAATTAATCAATCGGAAGAAAGTTTAATCCGTATTTTTGCGAAATGGATATTGCAAAACGGAATCGTGAGAAGGAAGGAAGGGAGGAGGAATATCCTGACTTCTTGGCAAGAGTGGGATTCGCAAGTTCACCTCGTTGAGGAGGTCTTGTGGATTGTGGTGGTGGTTATGTAAACAAATGAAATATTTTAAGAAGCTTCCTACGGCTATTTACAATCCACACTGAGACATTTAGAAAAGCATGCACCAGTGAGACCTATTGGGGCCTTTCAACCTGGTCATTGGTTCACGTCTATGTGGCGACATTAACATTTAGTATGCTGCCAAAGAAAGCTAAAATTTCCAACAGTCGTGCAGCTAATAGCATGGAGGAACTATCGAAAGGAGTTTTGGTGTACTCTTGGATAAATAAGTCAAATGAATTGAAACCACATCCACAATAGAAATGAAGTTCCAAGGACCGTCAAAGTAAAACCAGGGCTTTAAATTGGTCATCTTACTCTCAGAAAAGTCTGCTACCGCGCCCATGAAACGTTGCAGAAGCTGGAAAACCTCTTCCAACGCCGCTTGTTATATCTGTCACAAATGTCATGTGTGGCTCAGCACAGTCCAATCCAATTCAGACACCGTTCATCAGGATCAGATGGCAGGCAACAGTACCATTGACAGTAGTGGTACGCTTATGCAACAGCGTGTGATGACAGTGATGGCATGATGACACTACGACCACTCAGGCAAAGAGGAGAATGCCCCTGATTTCGGATACGAATCTTTTTGTGACAGAGGCGAACAAAATTATCATGAATAAGCACCTGACATTTGGAAAAGTTGGCACACGTGGGATGGCTAGGAAGATAGCTTCCCGCTCTTAACTAGCACATAAAAGTTTTTTAAGAAAAGTGAAGTTGACTGCTGATAAATCCCTCCATACGGAAACGATTTTACAGCTACTAGTGAGTGAGTGAGTGAGGCATTTGTGGAGTCGTAGAAGAACATAGGGAGAGATAAATGAAGTTTTCGTTCCTTGAAATGGGCTTAAGCATAGGCTCAAAAGTGCCGGTGAGCTTGGGCATTGACTGCAGCGACTGGATTGGTACCACAGCAGGAGGTAGTTCGGTAGCAGTGTACCCTTCATTCATTTTACCCTTTGATTGGATAGGAAGGTCACTTCGTGAGCAATTTGAATAACCTTAGTAACAGTGGTGCAAGTGTGGGTCGTGTGTGCGTGTGTGTTCAAACTAGAACACGCAAGACTCCTCCCCATTTACAAGTGTTTTCGTGCAAAATAATCACAAAAAAAACATGTTAGAGGCTCTAATATAATGCCCGCATTGCACCCTAACGCGTGATGTATGGGGAAACCAAACTTCCTTCAAAGTTGGGCATTCAGGCCATCATGTAGGGTTTGCAACGGTCTAAATCAGTGTCGTTGAATTTCCAAGCATTCTGATGCCTTAAATGGAAGTTCATCTCTAACCTATAGGTGAATTTGATTGAAGCGGTAGATACAACCGAAAAGGAGATGATCAAACTTGTGTACTTTTTAACGCTTGCAGAGTGTAAGAGGGACTCATTGGCAAATGGAACGATAAGAAAGCTGAAAAGGTAGTAGGTGATTCGTCCTAACGGAACACATTTGAGATAGCATTGCAGGACAGGGGCACCAGCTATCGGTTCTAACGAATCGTAGCTCGAAGTACACGTAGGTCATCGTGAAGGCGTTGCTGAAGATCACGTCATTTCTGAGTGTTTTGAAGGATAGTTGACAAGTCAGATAGGACCAAAGTGGAGAATCAGATTACGTGCCAATCTTATTTGGTTAGGTAAAGCTCTTCAAGGATTCTCTCATATCGGATCCAGCGTATAAAGAAGAGACGGTTTCGTGTCTCCTTCCAGATTATTCATAAACCTTGCATTTAGAGCTCTTTCACTCATGACGCCACCCAAGAGAACGGTTCAGAACAGTCCCCGCTTCCCACCTGCAAACCCTCTGCGATGCCCAGCAGCACTCCATGACTAAGACCCGTCAACAAAAGTGAACACACGAAACCGAAACACTACAAGGCCCTGGCTACCATAACATTCAGGCACGGAGGAAACCCACCAGCGCCGTATCAAGGGACACGTCAGCGGCCACACTAGAGACCCAGCCCCCGACATGCAGGCACACCCTCACACCAATACACGCTGGACTAGGGGGCAGCCACGCAAAAACTAAGAGGGCAATACCGATCAGCAGAAGACAATTCAATAAGGTCAAATCTTCGAAATTTTATTGATAAACGACATGATATTACTTTGGAAACTCCCAACATTTACGCTTCCTCAACCTCCTCATCCTCATCGAATTCCCCTTCATCCTCAGCAGTGGCGTCCTGATACTGCTGATACTCGCTCACCAAGTCGTTCATGTTAGATTCAGCCTCAGTGAATTCCATTTCGTCCATACCCTCGCCAGTATACCAATGGAGGAAGGCCTTGCGGCGGAACATAGCGGTAAATTGTTCGCTGACACGTCTAAACAGCTCCTGTATGGCGGTACTATTGCCCACGAATGTGGCGGACATCCTGAGACCGCGCGGAGGAATATCGCAGACAGCAGTCTTGACATTGTTTGGGATCCACTCGACAAAGTAGCTGGAATTCTTATTTTGCACGTTCAGCATTTGCTCGTCAACCTCCTTCATGGACATTCTGCCGCGAAAGATGGCGGCGACGGTGAGATAGCGACCATGGCGAGGATCACAAGCAGCCATCATATTCTTCGCATCGAACATTTGCTGGGTCAGTTCAGGAACGGAGAGGGCCCTATACTGCTGACTACCACGACTGGTTAAGGGGGCGAAACCGGGCATAAAGAAGTGCAGGCGCGGGAATGGAACCATATTAACTGCCAGTTTACGAAGATCAGCGTTAAGCTGTCCAGGAAAGCGCAAGCATGTAGTAACACCAGACATAGTGGCACTGACGAGATGGTTCAGATCACCGTAGGTCGGGTTCGACAACTTGAGGGTACGGAAGCAGATATCGTATAGCGCTTCGTTGTCGATACAGTAGGTCTCATCCGTATTTTCAACGAGTTGGTGTACGGAAAGCGTAGCATTGTAAGGTTCCACAACGGTATCAGAGACCTAGAAAGTCTCATAAAACAAAAATGATTACCTTAGGAGAGGGAACCACGGAGTATGTCACCATAATGCGGTCAGGATACTCTTCACGAATCTTGGAAATGAGGAGAGTACCCATACCAGAACCCGTGCCACCACCGAGAGAGTGGGTGAGCTGGAAGCCCTGGAGGCAATCGCAGGACTCAGCTTCCTTACGAATCACATCGAGAACAGAGTCGACGAGTTCGGCTCCCTCCGTGTAGTGACCCTTTGCCCAGTTGTTGCCAGCGCCACTCTGACCGAAAACAAAATTATCTGGCCGGAAAATCTGACCAAAAGGACCCGCACGAACGCTATCCATGGTCCCAGGCTCAAGATCAACCAGAATAGCTCTGGGAACATATTTTCCACCAGAGGCTTCATTATAATAAACATTGATGCGTTCCAATTGCAGATCGGAGTCTCCATGATAAGTCCCCGTTGGGTCGATTCCATGCTCGTCAGAGATTACTTCCCAAAACTACGAAAGACTTTGTGACTGAATAAATAACCTATACCTTGGCACCAATCTGGTTACCACACTGACCGGCCTGAATATGAACAATCTCGCGCATCGTCTAACGAACAAGCGAATCGAAATCCAAACTGTGCGGCAGGACGGACGGTTATGACCAAATAATGGCAATCTCTGGGAGCATTAAAACAAAGAAACCTTGCTGTTTGAATGCGAGATTTGAACAAATTCAATACCTTTCAAACAAACACTTTTAAATGACAATCAGAATATTTTTTTGCCCAAATTTTAAAGTCTTTTTCTTTTTAGCAGTGGTGAGTACATATCTCTAAAGTCCCTACTTTTAGTCGTTTTCATGACATTAGATCATAAAACAATTAACAAATGATATTTTGCTTGTTTAGAATGCAAATACCCTGCTTCAATACTGACTTGCATTTCGTCAGCTGAACAAAATGCTTCAACTAAATCGGAACTTACTCGCCCACAGCCCGTGAGATAAAACTGGTGCACTCGAAAATACACAGCCTGCGTTCCGCTCCCATCAGGGCTAAGGATGATTCAGGATCCTCATCGACTCCCGTGCCTCCTACTCAAGTACCTCCGTAGCAGGAACCCAAAGAGCACCATACATGAGCCGCGGACCGCGTTTGCAGCGAGACGAATAAGTAACAGCCGTGCCCCCTCCCCCCCTTGGGAAAACCGAAGATGTAAAACCGCTGTGGCATTCACTAATGAATGGTTGTAACAACATTACCATTTTTATTCATAATGAAACAGACATTACATTCCTGGCACCACGACAAAGTGTGAACTCAAGTAGTCAGAAGAAATTCAGGGTTTCCGCTTTAAGAAGCCCAAAATCGTAGGCTGATTGGTTGGAGGGGCCTTGTGCAATGACTTCAGCCTAGTCTGGTTAAAGGACCTTGCTTGTTGCGATTTTGATGCCCTTGGATTGACCTCCTTTACTTCGGGATCCTCTGCGGAATGGGCTACGGAAGAAAATTGTAATTAAGTCGGAGAATGAGATCGAATCGTATAACCTTGTTGGTCAGGCCGAGTACCGCAACACCTCTGTTAGTAGTTACTGAATTCACTCAGTGCTAATAAGGAATATGCGTCATATATTTTCGACGCCAAGTAGGGAGATGGAAGTAGTTACCAGAGGGATTACTTTCTCCTTCCTCGTCGCAGTCATCACCAAACAGTCTCCTCGGCTTCTTCACGGAAGCAGATAGAGGAAGACGGGGCCTATATGTTACTGACCGCTCTTGTCTAAAGAAAGAATAGAAAAAAATGATTTGAGATAGAGTAACCCTACTTAATTATATTTCACATACCTCAACTAGCCAGTGCATGATTTCTGAAGCTTTTCTAATGAATTCGACTTCGTTATGGAGCAAAAAATGGATCCTTGTCAGAAATAAAAGGAAGGCTGAAGTCAAGTCAGCACTACGAACTACACAATAGCAGTAAGTGACAAGCATGGCCCGCTACTAATCCCATTATTCGACACATGTCATACGCAGGAAAGTCCAGTCTCATCCAGCTAGAACACCCTTCAACAAGATAACAAAACGGACATGACGCCAAACCCTCAGCCAGCACGAGTTTACGGTGATGCCTGTCACAGACAATGGAGCAGAGTTCACATCGCCGGAGTTCCGTAACTATTGCGGATAACACACTAGCACGGATACTCTTCCTCCACAGCTTCACACTAAATGCACCGGACAAGTAAAGAGACTCCCTACTGACTAATTCCATGCAAAACCACCCATCACCGACGGAAGCCCTAGTGGGACGTCATCCTGGTACGATAAAGTCACTTTCGACGTCAAGGTTAGAAACACAACGTAAACGAAACTAGGATGTGTTTAGCCAATGACCGCACTGTATGCAGTGCGACGTACTGGTTTAAGTGATACGTCCTGCTTCGATAGTCGACTTTTAATCTAAAAAGGAGCCAAGTGTTACGTGAAAGAGAGCTGATCTGAAACTAAGGTGATGAGTAGTGCAAGATCTGACATGAATTCCTGTCGCATCAAAGTTGAAACGCCAGCTTGAGTGGACAACGGACGAGTGGGCGAATAGTGGAATTGGGGACTTATAGGTGAATCGAGGAAGGAAGGACGCGTGAATGGATAAATTCATCAATATTTAAATGAGCAAAAGGTCAGCTAAACACATGAATGGACAGGTGCATATTCGAGTTTATCAAGGAATAAATGAATGAACCAATAGAGAAGGTGTTTGGGGTCTGGTTAAATTGATTAATTACAGATGGACAAATGAATAGGCAAAATGGGAATGTGCGATGGGTAGGGCAGTGGATGCATGGACAGCTGAACCCATAAACGGATGAACCAAAGAGAGGATAAAATGAATGGATAGATGGTAACGAATGACCAAGTGGAAGAAAAAGGGATGCTACCTTAAAATATTTATATCACTTCAACATAGTGTGATGTAGTGATTTATTTTGATTGAATACAACCACACAAATATGCAAGCGATATGCAATCTTCGCTAATTCACCATAACTTATTGCACCGAGTCGTGTAGGAAAACAGATTGGTTGGGTTTGTAACAACAGCTGAATGGGGTTATCTAGTTCTCAAGTGTCGGTTAAATAGGCCATTCCAGTGTCATATTAGAGCGACAAAAAGTCTGGGCTGTGAAAGCCCATTTGCCATCGACCCTGTTAAGGAATGCTATAATGAATCCACTAACGTACAGCGTGTCTAATAATTAGCTCACCACGTCTCCACTAATCAAATACTTTGAAGCTTCGTAGTTCTACAAAAAAAACGCGTGTTCACAGATAGTACACGCGTGTGAAAGATTCCTCCATAGCTCCAAAAAGCGGCATTTTGAACGAGCCATCACGGAATGGATATTAGATTGCACAATTCAAGGTGCCGATTTTTGGTGAAATACAGAAAACAGGATGAGTTGAAACTTGCTTCAAATCACTCCCAATGAATTTGGGGTTTTGGCGTCTGGAGACAGGAGGAGAGGATGACTCCGAGTTGATCACCGCCCACTCAAGATTTGACTGATAGCGTGCGTGCAGAACGCGCTTCGGCTGAAAGCATGTGAATAAATACAAATGAAAGACATTCCAACCGCAACGGCCTCGCGGGACTGGTAAGCGAATTCAATGAACCACAAAGTAGAGGACCAAAAAAGTATCCACAAATCTTCATTACAAGAAGCTTCTCACATATCTTCCCACAGAAAGCTCAAGATTTAACATCAAATTCTGAGTCACACGCTGCTACTGATTTTTGGGAATGATCAGCGCTAGATCTACAACCAGCGTTCAATTGAGAGTGGGGCTTCCATGTTAGCCTCTTACGATAACAAGTCGAGGGGACGTGGTGATACTACACGCAGTGGTGTCAAGTCTGGCTTACTACTGCTTTACAAACCCGACACGTATGGCGTCGACCAGGCCGGTCCAGACACCGGCCATAAAGATGACTGACAACAGTGGTACGCCTGCGTGCTGACGCGGGCCAAAGTTTACTGTCAACAAGGGCTAGCAACCCGTAACTCACATGTGTCAACTCACATTCGCAAACTAAGACGACGACACGCTTAGTAGTGGGACATTTGAATGGTTCAAACACGGTCGGTCATACGTCTGTTGACGCCGACTCCGACCATAGTGGTTCCATTCCCAACCCAAAAGCACGGTAGAGTAGTCATTCGACACTATGAACACTGAAGCAGAGCACGGAACGACTGCCTGATCCACGGGCAAATCACCTGTTGTGGGACGAAGCCACATGTGAGACGAATATTTCTGTGGTAATGACGAACAAGATCATCACGACCGAAAACCTGAGATATGGAAAAGTTGGAGTAGGAACGGTGGGTGGGAAGACAGTTTTTCGCTCTTAATCAGCAAAGTGGAGCTTAAAAAAGTAGTGAATAAGACCATTCTGAAAATCGTTCAACATACTAACAACTCTTCCCATGTCAAACCATGAATGAGGTAGCAAAGGAGCATGTAAAGAAAAAATGCAGTATCTGGTCCTTAAAAATGGTTCTGTGGTTGTACGAGTCCTTAGGTTCTGCAGAGTTAAATATCAATTGAAAAAAGTAGAACAAATTTTTAGGGAATGAAATCTGCGGTGGATAAACCCAATGCTGCCGAAAGCTTCTTGCCGACCATGGATGATGGCAAGGCACGCCTAGTTTCCATCATCTTATCTGCCAACCGTAGCGATTACAGGCGAATACGTCCTTCTCGTGTATTGTCATTGGATAACTTGCTTTTAAAATGGACTCCTAGAATTTATTCGAATTGTCTCTGTTGTGGTATACTTGATGTCAATGTATTGTCAAAACCGTGGGGTTTTATTCCACAAGCAAGGCGTATTATCAAGAAACTCGGCGGCAAATTCATTTCGTCCATACTCATTTTTTTTACAAAACTTTAGCCCCAGCATGACGGTCTGAAACCAGATACTTGAGCCAACTATTAATTCTGAGGTTGAAAGAACCGCTTAATTATATCAGCGATATACTGCTTACACCCCTTACTTTAAATCCCTTGGCCTGAAACCCCCAGACTACTGGGTGTAGAGTAGGTGGAGAAAATACCATGATTCAAAGGTGTTAATACCTAATTCAGGGAAAACAAAAAGCCACTAACGAGTTTAATAGCACGATATGCTATGTTATCCTCCTCAGCCTTCAGCGTGTCAGTAGCAGTAGCAGCTGGAGGTGTAGTTTCAGCGGAGGAAGGTGACTGAAAGAAGGCAGAGAAGGTGCGCTGCCCAAGTGGTGTTTTGGGCGTGTAACAAGAGGGACTGAGACGGGTCGCAGCCACCTGGCCTGCTGCTTCAAAGAGAAGAAAGAGACGTGCCAGTCTGAAGGCCGTTCGACCCTGAATCGATCCGCCTGCGTGGGTCGGCTAGAGAGAAGGGAATCTCCTAAAATGTTTATTACTAACTTCGATCTTCTTACCCACGTCCGTACGTAGCATCACACATTCCCTTCTAATGAAATATACCGCATATAAATTAGTTTAAAAAGGTTGATTTGTGGTTGGTTTTCCACCGAGGCAGACATTGGTAGTGAACACACTAGCTTTAGTCTCGAATGCAACACTTCCCCGAATGGGTTTAGGAAAGGTAAATGCAAGAGGCTTTCAAACTAAACAGTGCGTTTTGGGTTTATAAAAGCTGGATTTTAAAAGTCAAGAGACTAAGCATGCATTTTTTAGGAAGATTTTTGTCGCATATGTGCTACACTTACTTCAGCGTTTAACTAATACCTGGAGAGCCACCCTAGGGCAGCCTGGTTCAGTTCAGTTCAGAACACTTTTGGCACTCGTTATTAGGTATAACAGCCGCGGTAGCGTACTTTTTAAGTAAACGTGGGCCGCATGCCCGCTTTGGCCTGACCACTCATAATATGGAATGTAAAATATGTCAGCCCGCCACAGGTACTTAGAGTTTTTCGTCTAAGCGAACGAGATAGCTGAACAGCCAAGGCATATTAACACATCAAGGGGTTGACAATTACCTAAATTCCAAAACATGCATATGCACTCACCCGATTCGGAGTTGAAGTTAGAAAAGGTTCCATACCGGACACCAATGGGGAGGACATAAGCACCTCCAATTCCCTGCACAACCTTCCCTTAGCTTCTTTGACAGTCTCAAGGGGCCAGGCGGGTCTAATGGGAGTCCCTGGGACCTTGAGAGGCTGAAGGCTTTTACAGCCGCAGTAAAGCAAGCACAGACAGCGGAGGCTGCCGACTGCGTGGACATACGTCCAAACTCGCTACTAGCGGCCAGCGTCGAATCGTCACTAAGGTAACCAGAGAGAGCGTCCTGACAACTGCGGATAGTATTAGCAAGATGAGTCAAGTTGGGGCTAGAAGGTCGCAAGAGTTTAGCGTTTTGCTCGCTTAAAGTTGAAGTTGCGGCCGATTCTGTCATGCATGCTGGATAGGAGAGTACCAGCTAAACGGAATGCCGGAAGTGAGAGATTAAAAAACCAGTCATGTTTGACCTCTAAAAGATTATTAAGATTGTGATTCGTACATCTAAACTTAGGCCTTGCTTAAATTCAAGAACTAAAGAAAGATTCCACGGTGCAATGCAACGTTCTCCACCAGCGCCACATAGAGGTGACAATGCTCCTTATTTGTATATCATTACCGATCGCCGCGAATCATAGATATTCCTGATCTTGTAGATGTTAAGGCGCAGTTAAATCTGTTAGTTCGATATTGAAAGTGTTGGCACCATTATCAGAATACAAAACATCTGTGCTGTAAGGGTAGATTTTCCTACGACCCTGGTAACGGAAGTGATCCTGATAGAGCAAACAGGGGATTTAAAACAGTTACCAGGAGTTTGAAGGCGCCACTCTTGACAGATGAAAATCTTTAGCCTACTGTATTTCACATTCATTGCTCAAATACAGAAATGAATGAACGAGTTATACAAAGCAAGCAGTTTGACAATGCATATAAGACTTTAAAAACCAGAATTAATCACCTCATTGGCTATTGGATAGAAACGAACAGCAGCTGCATTTATAAACTACAATATTTATAAGAGTAAATAACTAGGTTGCAGCTCATAGTAGAGATTTGTAATGCGGTTATTCATACGAACTACGCAGAACAAATACATCAGTCGACCGTCACTCCTAGTTACTTTCCTACTTCCTTCGAGCCCCATATCCTCAAATGTAGGCTGAATTCGGGAGGTGTGGCGTGGAATTCGACTCGGCTCTGAAGTTGCCGAAGTCCCCTTAAAAAGGTACAGCGTGCCGCGGCTCAAAGTGCAATCCAAAAATACTCAACCATAGGATTGATACCGCTAAGGAGGCACTCAGAGATGTAGCATATCCGGGAAGATCACGAGATTGACAAATTGAGAGCGGCTTCCGCTAATGTTTGACGTGAGTGAAGAGACGACCTATTTACAATCGCACCAACTGCCAAAGCAGGTTTGTGCAAATTACTAAAGGAATGGATTCCTTCCGACTCCGAAAAATCAATCGACGATATGCCTCAGAGGTTACCGATTCGGTATTCTTCCCTTCTTTCAGGTTATGAGAACCCATCATTCGGAAATTGTTTGCCAAGTGACTGATTTATAATGGAAAATTGCTTGTGTATTCCAAGATTCGTTAATCTAACGAACATTTCATTGGGTAGTGCAAAAAGAAGTGGAAATCAGATCGAATATCTACTTTTTAGAAGGGCAAAAAGAATAAAAAAATAAGTAAATTCTAGCCAGATATCCCTTTTTTTTTAATTTTGTAATTAAAGTGGTTGGGTTCAAGAGCAGAATTGGGAGATCATTCACATACTCAACTGTCAAATAAGTCATCATGAAAGTAAATATTGTGATTTAAAAAAATTATTTCTGGAGACTAAGCCTTGCTAACGACCATCAATCAAACTAGATTAACGGCATTCATGGTCTACACTCAAGCAGAATATAAATGCACGGTATATACAAGCCAGCAACATCATAAAAGACGAAATTAATGATAGTGAATCTGAGGACAATCTCTCTTGTGTCTGAATCACTGGAATTACCTGCCCAGGAAGAATAGAAGAGTTTTCAGCAACATGACGAAGAATAGCAAAGAAAGATTTGCTGAAACCTCGAAAAGGCTTGTTAATAATGAGAGCCAAATCAATAGTGTTCCTGATATTCACTCCAACTGCCAGATACGCCAGGAGAGCACGCGATAGAGGTTCGGCCTAGAGTGTTTAGACGCCAAAAAGGTAAGGTACGTTACCTCGGTGTAGCGTTCCGGTGGGGTAGAACAGAGTTGCAGTGAGTGAAATGGTTTGAATTCTGGAGTATTGACGAATCGTAGGTGTGGTACACCGATTTCAATCAGTAGAGATACCACGAGGGACTAAAAACATAGCTAATTGAATATTAGGACAGTCTACCTCAAACCACGAGAGTTGGCTTGTTACAACAAGGTATTCAGTGGCATGTAAAGTCTCCATTAGCGGAGCGTTTGTTTCATATTCTGTCTTTACGGCCTTTAGTAGGTGAAGTCGATCGATGACATTACAAGTGGTGAGTATATCCTCAACAGTTTGAACAAGTTCACAATAATTGGTTTGGAAACAGAACAGCCTCTGCCTGCATATCCCGATCCAAAGTAAATCCAGTTCTTCTGAGGACAACTGAAAAACAAAAATTTAGTGACGTAAAACCATCTTCTTATTCTGTGCGTACTTTAGCTTTAAACTTGATTTGCGCCAAAGCCATGCGTAGAACACTCTGTTCATCTCGAGGACCAATAAAAGTCTCAAGAGAGTTTTTCTCTAATGAGAAATTCAAGTAGACATTGTAGAGGAATAAAAGTAGACATTGATGTCGGAAATCGGACTCCTTATTTTCATCATCGGAGCACTCCCATTGGCCAATTTCGACAACATACATTAAGGATGCTCACTAATTAGATCCACCTAAAAGTGGGCGTTCGAAAGCGAAAATGAGTGACAAGATATTAAATTGGAGAGATTGGCAATCATCTCAGAAGAGAAATATGAGAAGCAGCTGCACACTCACTACCTCAAATATGTGCTAGTATTTTCGAACTTAATGTTCGATAAACGGTAACAACCAAGGCACTGAATAGGCAATCATTTGACAAATCGTATCGATTAAAAGTAAAGGTAACCTGAATTAATGTTCAAATCAAAGAAACCAATTCGTGAATGAGGAAGAGGGTGGTGTCAAGTGGGAACTTAACCGCACTATCGCTGATGCCCACTAACAATTAAAGACTCACCACACCCACAAGTCCTTAAAGAGTTTTCAGCTAAATATCAAAACAAACAAAGGCGAACGAACATTCCTAATGTGAAACGTACTTTAAAAAGTAAACAGATTGAGGTGTGAAGAAACAAAAATTGTATTTTGAGCGTTTTGGTTTGTGACAATTCAGAAAACCAAAAAATGGGTAAAGAAGGTATACGATGCCAAAGAGTGTGTTCTAATCTTACCCACAAGAGCATAATATTGCATGTTTTTTCTTAAAGAGCACTACAAAATTTGACACAGGGGCAATAAGTAAAGTTCTCCTGGCTGCGCTGCGTCATTGCCAAAAATTAACTGCCTTACCACCAAGGTATTTAAATACTTAATAAATTTTGGATTAAATACGCTTTGGTCTTTCATCTTTGTTTTTCAGCCATTTGATATATTTGTTTGCTTTGATATACTATTCACCAACGCTTCAAATTGGTGAGGCTTCAACTCCACGCCTCACTGACAAGATGCAATTATCGGACGCAGAATGTGCGACGCTTACTCAGATGTTGTTATCTGGCATCAGACTTGACGGCAGATCTTTAAAGGAGTATCGCGAAATCAATTTTCGTTTTCCAAGTGGCTATCCATGCGGCGGTTGCTGCATCGTGAACATAGGTTCCACTTCGGTCCTTGCGAAAGTGTCTGCGGAGGTAGTCGAACCTAAACATTACAGACCCGCCCAAGGTGTTGTTTTTGTCAACTTTGATGCCACCCTGGTGTCATTTTTGGAAGGTTGGTACTGGATTTTTATTCAACTCCTTCATAGATTTTAGTGACCTGACTTGTATTTCTGTTAAAGGTTCTGTTTATAACGCTTTATACTTGATTAGCATTTATTTCCGAACGCTTGAGAGTAGGTGGTTTATATGTTTTTGGGTTTTGTGACTTTGAATAGAGCCTGGGAATATACTTATCATGTGTCGAGATATTAATAAACGACTTTTTTTATTTTCGCCACAGGTAGACGAAAAATCCGGGGCCGTGATGACGAGGGTCGACGCCTTTCCTCGGTGCTGCAAACGTGTCTTCGTGATTCTATTGACGTCGATGCCCTTTGTATCGTCGCCTGGGAACGCGTGTTCGCTATTCGTGTCGATCTCAAAGCCCTTTCTTTTGACGGGAATTTGGGTGACTGCGGTGCACTTGCTGCCGTCGCTGCTTTGGCCTCCTTTCGTCGGCCAGATGTGTTCGTTAACGATGATGGAAAGGTGAATAGGCAATCCCCATCGAAGTCACAGTTACTTAACATTCAGAACTGGTGACACTAAAAGTTTTGATGAAGCGTCTAAGATGAAGGTGTTCTTCAGCAAGGTAACGCAACCAACATTTGCGCAAAATACGTTTGGCCTATCAAAATAGCTTAGGCTTATCAACTTGAATCCAGAAACAATTTTCCATCTGCAAAGAATCAAATCGTGAAATATTTTGTTCTGTGGACCAGTTTTCAGCTGTTTTTAACCAATTGCAGCTATTGGGACGAAATTTTGTGAAGGATTGCTAACTAAGCAACTGCATGTTGTGCAAACAATACTACTTTTTGTGCAGGCCAATCCATACCTCCCAATCGTTTCTTTTACGCGCTTTATTTTTAGTCTGACCTGTCCCAAAGTCCACATAAGCATTGTTTCTATTTTACAGACCTTTTAAGAAGATATTCCTCTTCCCTCAAACACTTTTGTGAGTTAATACATTTAAGAGCTTATCGAGACGTTTTGAATAAGTGTGTGGAAGTAATGTTTTTTACGATTCAAATAAATGATGTAGAATAAATTAATCTTTTAACACTTAGTTGTTAATGAAATTTCGAAGCCGTTCGGTCGTCCGTCTTTTATTCCTGCACCTGAAATTCGCTCAATCGAGTATTGCCTGTGGGAACTGCATTAATCAGTCGAGATTACTTCTGCTCTGAGATTTGAATGCTAGACGTTGAAGCATAATTTTCGCGAAACCGGACCCCATGCAACTGTTTCGAGCATGGTTAACAGGCAGGATACGAATGGTCTGTATGTGTGTACGTGTTTTTTATTCGACTTCAGTTTCTTAATTTCGATTTACTATGCATTACAAAGGCCACTTGACTCCCCTTTTGCACTTGTAAGATCATTCCAATACATCCTGTATGGCTGATATGGTGTGGAAGAACAGCATTCACACGGGAGCAGATTCGTTTGGAATGAATGCGTTGCTGTCAAATCCATACACGAAGGCTAATTTGTCATAATGGGCTAAAAGTGGCGATCTTATTTCTCTTAGTTGGTGGAATCCTTTGTGAATATGTCCTTGGGGCCTATGATTCTAAATAGCATAGTGAAGATGTAGTATTGCGGGGTCCCTTCATCCCCTTTTGTGCTTTATTTCTGTAATTCACTTACTTTGTACTTCGTAAGGCTGTGCAATACTTTAGAATGGGTGGATTTTACGTACAAATCACTATCTGTAGAAACATTTGCCTTAAAGTAGAGCTATTTGATAAAATGCGTAGTTTAAGGTGGTGTTAGTTAGTATTTAGTATTTAGTACCAATTTCTCTTTGCTCACTTTCCACTCTGTGTTTAATTCAGCTGCCAAGAGGGAAGAGGTGGGAGTATTTCACATGCCCTATTTTAAAAGTTACGAAATTGTTCAAGCATGATGTTAAAATTATTTCTTTTATTTGGTCAAACCCATAGTTAGTGCCTTGTCATTGCAAACACGATCGCTAACAACCACCTCTTTATCTTAAGTGATTCAGAATTAGTTCAAAATGTCACAGAACTTTTGCCAGTGGGGCAAAAATACATTAAAAATAATCATATTCCAAGTTTACCGTCGGAATGTGTAAAGCCGTTTTAAGCATAGCTGGCACAGTTTGAGGCGTAAGGAAAATGGATCTCTAAGTGGCCAAATGATGCCTGTGTGCGTCTATGGTTCCTCTTGGTAACAGATTATTGTTGACACGGAGATGAAGCACCGTCCACCGGTGCGCCTGAACTTACGTCGTACTCCTGTATTGGTGACCCTCGGTCTGGCCTCTGACACCAAAGTTATTCTCCAGGATCCCACGCAGCGAGAGGAGGCAGTCCTAACCGGAGGGCGGGTGATGGTCGGTCTCACTGCGCATGAGGAGCTTTGCTGTGTTCACACTTCTGGACTCACCACCTCAATTCGACCGGAAAGTCTTTCTAGGTAGTTTGACGAGGCTTTACCCCGCTTTTTTAATTTGTCTGGTACATTTCGTTTTATAATTTTTTACTTATTCAATTTAAGTAAACAATGTTGCATAAGCGCTGAAACTTTGCATGGAAATTTGATGGTCTGCTTAAGCAACAGCATTGTGGCAATGCTGAAGTGATATTGAAGCGTTGCGTTGTTGCGTTTTAAACGACAACCAAAAGTGCCGGGAATAGACAACTGGAAAGGCTATTTCAGATTTATCATCGAAAATCGCCTTATTTCTGGTTCTTATTGCTTGTAGAACCGATAATATTGCCTTCCCAAATAAGCAACAATTTTGCTTTTCGTTGAACCGATCAAAAGGTTCTGGAAATGGACGGCTGAGGAAAAAGGATGATAAAGTTAAGCTTGAAATAACGATATCATCCCAGAGCCTCTGCCCAGCTTTGCTAACCTTTTCCACCTTTGCGGATTATTTCCCTTTCTTGTGGTAATTGCGCTTCAAGTTTATAGTTCATGATTCTGTGGTGCTGCGTGTTGTGGTGCAGTGAGTGAGCTGTGTGAAATGAACCAATAGTACGTTCGTTTGCTCGATTGTTAGTTCATCTGTTCCTTTGACGGTTAACGTTTAACGAAGGGTAGAACGCAAAGCGCACTCAGCTGGTTAGGAAACGG